AATCAATTACATTATCGCCAATTCTTGTTCAATAATTAATCAAATAAACTCTAACAACTTTTGTTCGTAGTCGTATGGCTAGTGAATCAAGATGAATTCAATGACTTATTTTATAATCTTTAGTTGATCTTGAACTTTGAAATTTGTACTCAAGGAAAACGTTATCATAGAAAAATATTTGATTATACAATTTTTATTCTGTATTCTATATTTCATATTTAGGTGTTATCTTTATAGGTGTTAGGTGTTATTTTTGTGTTATCTTTACACAAATAAAATACCGAATAATTCTATAAATCTATAATCCATGAATGATGCAAAAATAAATGAAAAAAAGAAAGTATAACATTTTTTCATTTAAATTTTGTTCTTGAAAAAAAATATACTACAATTTGGTCAATATTAAACTGTATATGTAAAAGTGAATAATTGACAGAATGTTATTCTATGCACGAAAATAAATAAAAATGTAGAATAGAATTTTTTCATTTAAAATCTTGTTTTTGAAAAATAAATTCTATTTAAGATCTCGTTTAATATGCAGATAAATGTTTCATAAATTTTCAAATTTAATTTTCTAGGAAATGAAACACCTTTTGAAAAAATTTTATTTATTTATTTATTTTCACGCATAGAATAGATAATTTTGTGGATTATTCATTCCTGTTGCAATAGTCAAAATCAATTATGATTTTCGAACTTAATTTTCTTAAAGATAAAAAAGTGTTCTTTGTTTTCAACAAAGTAAATTTCTCGATAATCTTCCAAAAGGCTCGCAGAAATTTTTAGAATATAAAAATGTTGAACAGAAATGTTTGATATTATTGAATTCAATTCAATGAATTTTACAATTCATTTATTTACATTCATTCATTTTACTACAATTTCTACTAAAATCTTCTCATTAAATGAACTCCTTAGTTGACAAGTGAATTATTTCTTTTCGTTATGTTATAAAAATTTAACTTTCGTGTAATGCTTTAAATTAAAAATAGAATGTAGTGAAGAATAGTAATTATGAAGAATAGTAATTATGATAATATAACTTAAAAAAAAAGCTATGATACAAAACTAATGATAAGGTAACGAATAACCAAGTAACATTGTTTATTTACAGTATATATTAAGCCTAATGCGATCAATCCGGCTTGAAGGATCGAATGTTGAGTCTAATTTGATCGTTTGACATTAGACTTGAATCGTGTCTGCCCGAAATAAATTCCTGGACTTGAGTCCATTGCAACCAATTCAAGAATGAACTTATGTTCACTCGAAGGACCACCCACGACAATATACAACCGAATTGCTTTAACTCTTTGCACTTCGAATTATTTATTCGATTTTATTGTTAATAAGTCCCTAGCATTTTAAGTGCTTTAGGTTTCTTGACTGGTACTTATTTTAAACAAATTTTTTACTAATTATATTAAATATAGCTCTCAAGCAATTTCGTAATTTATATTTGTGGAACTTTCAAAATTTTTTAACTAAAAAATAAGACAATTTCAATAAATGAAATACATATAAACTAAATACATATAAAAACCCGTTTTATTTACATTTTTTTTTACATTTTGTAATTTTGAAGGGTATGAACACATATATATATATAGTTTGAAACAATTTCCAGGATGTAAACCTGGTTTTCTTTCATAAAAAGAATTGATCTCTTTCCTTCCTCCAGGTATTTTTCGGTTTAAGCAAACTGTACAATCCTTTTCCTTCTGGATGTAAGAAAATGAAATGAAGTTTTCCATCTAAACGATCGTTTTCGTCATTTGTTCCAGGCCTTCCTAATTTTTTTTTTAGAACACGAAAATCAGCAGTAAACAAAATACTTTCTCGAAATCTTTTGTAAGTCATAGGTTTCTTTTTTTCATTCTTACTTTTTCCTTTATACAAAATATACATGTTCATTACAAAGAGATTTCAAGTTGCCAAAAGAAATATTTCCTCCACCACTTGAGTGTTCAACGTAAAAAACAATAAGATATCGTGTATTGGTATCATATCAATATTACCCATATATTTGTTATAATGTATGATTTCCGATTGTTTTATTTCTCTTATTTTATCGAAATGTTTTACAAACATGTTTCTAAACATTGTGGGATCTCAATTTTGTACTAAGCATAGTTATTATTCTTTTATCTCTCCATACTAGCATTAAAGTTTTGATTTTTATGAATGCCACCAATTACTAACTTTGGTTTTTTTATTTGATGTGGTAATCCCTTTCTATTAGGCATTATCGTCCCAAGCATTTTTTTTTTTTTTTTTTGTACAATCTGTTCTAAATTTTGATGTTGCCAACGCAGGACTGGTGTAAAATCTGTCAGTGAAAATATGATATCCCTTGGCCTCATGTATATTTTCCAATAAATTTTGATACTGTTGTAATACAATTCTGTTAGTGAACTGAAATTCTGGATGAATGAGTTTTCCATAGTATGGGACGAAGGAATAAACATAACTGTTTTTAAAATCCGGAAGAACATACACACGTAAATTCCATTTCGTTGGCTTTTTCGGGCTGTAGGTAATAAAGGAAATTTCCCCGTTGAAACCAACTGTTAACTCATCAACACATATATTTTTAGGAACAAAATATTCCATAAATTTTGAATTGAAGTAATTCAAATAGTTACTTATTTTCTGTTTTTTTGTTTTTATATTTCGATCCAATGTAGAAATTGTTTCTAAATGAAGAGATCAAAAGATCGTTGGAAAAATCTTTTGCTTTTCAAAATTTTAGCAAAGAATGGAATTCTTCTATTGAAACCCAATATGACTGTAAATCGGGTAATATTGCAATTCCCATGTTTATTATCACTGCCAAAAACGTTTCCATTTCAGCTTCAGTGATATCCTTCCAATCATACCAAAATGAAAACGGCCTTATAACTTTATTCAAAATTATTTTTGCAGTGTATGCATTTGTCTCGTCAACAATTTTTTTCTATCAATTCATCAGTGAAAAAGAGCTTAAAATAATGAGTATAGTACACAACGATGGAACTGTTGGTCCAACATTTCTCTGTCCGATAGAAAAATTATATTTATAAATGTAATTATCTTCACGTGTTACATCATTCCAGATTAGTGGATCTGGTATTGCGTTTGTATTTGATTATTGCTA